GAAGGTCATATCAAAGTCTCTAAATTAAATTTTTTTTAATGGAATTATATGATTTTTATACGTAAATCGATTCCTATTATCATTCTGCGTGTAGTGCTAATTCAAAAAGTAAATGTTTTATGAACAAATTTATATAATTTTATATAAGATATTTTTTTATTTTGTATTATATGATATTTTATATAAATAAAGTAGTCATACGTGTGCACATATACTAAAATAGCACTACGCTAAAGATAGAAATAAAAAAAATCTCTGTTTTTTTGAAATTTTTAATTAATACGTGCTTAATTGAAGATAACAAAAACGTAAATTAAACATAAATTAAAACATTAGTTAACATAAATTAAAATTATTATAACTTTATCAAACAAATTAACTGAAATTATTGTAATCTTACTCAATGTTAACTATTATTGTAAAAATAAATCAAGCAACTTGTTCGAAAAATTTTTGGGATGCATTATTGTTGTATTTTATTTCATTATTAAAAACGCGACATCGTGTATAAGCACAATGATTAATATTGAATAGTTTTTTTTGCATGAAAAATCTTCTTTTGATATTTCAAAATTCAAAGAATGGGAAAAATGGGCGTCTGGTACCTGAAAAGGTTTACTTGTTAGAATTTATTTTTGTTTTTGAAATTACTGATTCCTTAATTACAATTTGATATTAATTACCTTTAGCTAATGGAGATAAAGTTAAATAATGTACGATAGCTCCACCAGCACTTTCGCCAAAAATTGTGACATTTTCAGGGTCTCCTCCGAATTGTGATATATTTTTCTGAATCCATCGTAATGCCATAACAACGTCTTTCAAACCTTGGTTACCAGTAGCCACTTTATCATTGAGGTTCAGAAAACCTAAAGCCATTTAAGAATGTATTGCATCCTTTTATAATTTTTATATTTACAATGAAAAACTCACAGATTATTCCATATCACATTTAAAAATAATACAAGAACATTTGGCGGCGATTTAGACTTTGGATTAAAAATTATTTAAATAAACAAGTAGAAATGTGCTCTAGAATAAATAGAAATGTAATTAAGAAATAATGATAAAGATCTTAATTTTTTAAAGACACTTTAAGTATTCAAAGATTATTTATATAAAGTTTTGGCGCGATGCAAAGATTGATTGTTCTGTTTAAATTTTATTTGTACCACACTCTTTTCACTCGTACGTTTAATAATTTAATTTTTATTTCCAATTTAATTTTTTATTTACAGTAATAACTAATCTCTAT